GGCTACTCTTCCAATGAGTTCTTCCATCATTCGCGCAAGCCAGACCCCCCTGTGTTGCTGCCATCGAAACAACAATGTACTATGCTTCGCAAGAAGATAAAACAACTACCTTTTTCTTAGTTGATTGCCAGCCGATTGCGCCGCCTGAGAGGAAGTAAATCATCCCGCTGGTGCTCTTACAATCATCACATCACCGCCCATGTCACTATCACTGTAATCGACCATCTCAAGCTTCTCCTTTCCTCTCCATGCGCTGTAGCTCACACCCCTACCTCTGGTTTCGGTTACATAGTGTAGGATGCGCTTGACAACAACTAGATGCTCCCCCTTAGGTGCTTCGATAAACCTACTCATGTATCCAATGGAATAAGCAAGGTCAGGGCGTGTGTTTATCAGATAACGCAGGCTCTCGAAAATGTTGTTGTAATTGGTAGAGTCGATTGTCGTCGTAGTGTGGGCTTTTCTTAGCTGGAGTTGGGTCTCCATTGGTGTCCTTGTAGGGTTACTGCCCGCTAGCCCAGTTGTGTCCAGTAGTTTTTTTGTGTATGCACCTTGACAGATGGTGATGCCGGCAGTACTTTATTGCACTTCGATGCTGAACTAGTAGCTGAGCACGTTGAGAACGCTCATCTTAAATTTCTTTGACATCTTCTTCTTGAATCTCCCAAGAACTTCCATGTAGCCTCCAGTGATTATGAGGTCGTGGACATACACTCCCACGATCAGTTGCTGCGTGCCGTGGCCATGCGTGTACATGCCATGTTCAAAGGCACAACACTTGAACTTCAGCGATAGAAGGGTACTATCGAACTTCGCGTTTTAGGCTCGTGGTGCTTGCCGAAGCCCCTAAAGTGCCTTGTGCAGGTGTAGTACCTTGCTGGAGTTGTCGTTGTCCAGGAAGCCAATGGTTGTCGGACGTAGATGGTCTCCTTCAGCTCTCCGTTGAGAAAAGTAGACTTCACATCCATGTGGTGGACCTCCCAAGAATGATGTGCCACGATTGCCAGCAATAGGCGGACAGATTCCAACCTTGCCACCGGCGCGAATACCTCTTCGAAGTCCACTCCTTGCTTCTAGACGTAGCCCTTGCCACCAGACGGGCCTTGTGCTTCACAACTTCTCCCTCTTCGTTACGCTTTAGTTTGAAGACCCATTTGAGCCCTATGGCTCGGTGTCCCAGCAACATGTCCTCTAGACTCCACATCTTATTCTCAGTGAGGAACGCCATCTCCTCTTGCATTATCTTCAGCCAGCACGAGTTCCTTTCTACTTTGGCAAAGGAGTTCGGTTCATTTGTGCTGATGGCATGCAGTTTGGTCACCTCTTCTTCGAGCTCAAGCGCAGCTAATCCAAGTGGTTCACCTCCTCCCACTAGGTCTTCTATCCTCCGGTACCTGGCCACCAGATCATCATCATGATAGGCATCCAGCATTGAATCTGCAGTATGTGGTGTTACGAACTCCACTGGTTCAGGGGGTGCAGTCGGAGTTGTGGTTGGGGTTGGCATAGGCGTGCCTTATGTAGCTGTTGGCAGCGGTGACCGTTCTTGATGCTGCGCTCCTCCTTCTCCCAGCTCGGTAACGAGGTACTCCACCGTTAATTGATTAGGTTTTGGTCCGCCTCAGTCATGTCGTTCCACTACCAGAAGGTGCTGTCATCAAAGATGACATCGCGCGACATGTGAGCTCGCCCCCCCGTAGGATCATAGAGCCTGTACGCCTTGCTCCCGGGTTCGTAGCCGATGAAGATGACCTTCAACCCCCTGGGACCGAGCTTGGCGAGGTGGGGATGCACAACCTTCATGTATGCGACACAGCTGAACACTCGGAGATGATGTACCTCTGGCTTCTTGTTGTACCAGGCCTTATGTGGCGTCTTTCCGTCGAGGCTTCGAGTTGGCGACCGATTGAGGAGGTAGACGGCCGTCATTACCGCCTCTCCCCAGAACCTCCCAGGCATCCCGGTCGTCATCAGTAATGACCTTGTTGTCCCGATGATGGTCTGATTTTGGCGCTCCACCGTCCCGTTCTGTTGGAGGGAGTAGGGCGCCGTTAGATGCCACTGCATGCCAAGCTTGTCACAGTACTTACCGAAATTCGTCGAGGAGAATTCTCTGTCTTGGTTTGTGTGCAGCACTTGCATCTTCTTCCCGCATTTGGCCTCCGCTCGTGCTTGAATGCACTTAATCGCCTCTGCCGCCGGCTTGATGGGCCCAGATATCGTCGTGCATGAGCTTCAATGGCTCATCGGCGCGGTAGGATGCTTGAGACGGAAAGGGGATGCGTCTCTGCTTACCAATGAGACACCCGTCGCACAGCTGTTCACGCCTTCGATTGCTGGCAAACCGTGCACCATCTCCTTCTTGTGTAGTTTTTGTAGTTTTGTATAGTATTTGAATCGTCTGTTGTTTTTTGACTAAGCAAATCGGATGAAATCGTTGTCGAGGAAAAAAGCCAAAGGAAAATCTTGAAAGAATAAAATAACGGAAGAACAAAGAGAGAGAGAGTATTTCAGATTCTGCGCTAAAGACCCGATGATTTTATTCTCATAGAATTGGAATATTTAAAGAACAATTATATCCTAAAAATGGAAAGGAGTGCGACTTAATTAAAGTCAATCCACTCAACTTTAATTGCATGACTTTAAAAATAATAGTAACTAAAAAAAGGAGGAGAAATGATAACTTTAAAAATTATAGTAACTAAAAAGAGGGGAGAAATGACTTTTAACCTAAAATAGGGATTTATCTAACATCTTTCACCTGCTTCAAACCAGAAATTTTTGACATTTTCTTGTCTGTCAGCGTAGCTCTTTTACCAAGTTCATCACAGTACGATTTTTGCGTTCGACCACTCCATTTTGTTGTGAGGTATAGGTTGTAGTCAATTGTCTCTTCACTCCATGCTTTTTGCAAAAATTGATAAATTCTGCAGAGTTGAATTCTCCTCTTCGTCCTTAAACATTTTATTGGCATTCCAATTTCCTTTTCCACCGTTGTTTTGAAACATATGAAATGATAAAATGTTTTTAATTTTTGTACAAGAAAATAACTTCATGCCTTCCTTGAAAAATCATCTATAAAGCACAACAAGCACTTTTTCTGGCCACTTGAAGCTTGTGAAATTGGACCACATACATCTGCATGAACAAGACCCAATTTTTTCATTGCTCTCCATTTACCCATTTTTAGAAATTGAGTCCGATGTTGCTTGCCTTTCATACATGCCTCACTGGTGGTGTTTGGAGCTACAATTTGCGGCAGGCGTTTCACCATGTTTTTGTGTTTCAAGGTGCACAAGCCTTTGTAGCCGAGATGACCATAACGATGGTGCCAAAGTGTTGACTGATTCGTATTTGAAACTTGGAGGCATCTTCCTCCATTTGTTGTAGTAGATGGTTCAGTACGCAAAATAAACAGACGATTTGTGCTCATAATTGACTCTGTTATTTTTCCTTTTTATGGATGATAAATGCTACATACACCATCTTTAAACAACACTGCTATTCCTTTTTCTAGTAGTTGTCCAACGCTCAAGAGATTATTTTTGAGTTCAGGTACCCAAATACACATTACTAATAGTGCAATGAATCCCATGCAAAGTTAATTTCACTGCACCCTTTCCCATAACTTTCATAGTTGTATTATTTCCAAGTTTGACAATGTGGAAAAATGTCTTGTCTAAACTTAAAAATATACCTTCACTTACACACATATGGTTTGAGCAACTAGAATCTAAGAACCAAGCATCATCCTTTTTGCTTCATGTCTTTTCATATGAGCCATTAACAACATTTCATCCTCTTCTTTCAGCTTTGCATAATTCAATTCCTTATTCATCTTTGGACATTCATATTGAAAATAACCTAAGTCATGACACCTATAACATTCAACAGTTCCTTCGTTGAAAGTTGATCTTCCTCTTCCGTGTCCTCTGCCCTTGTAAGTTCATCCTCTTTCGCGTCCTCTGCCCCTGTAAGTTCCTCTTCCTCTGTTACTTATTTTCGTTCGTCCTTCGACTTTTAAAACTTGTCCTCTCCATTAATGCTAGATCTTCGAAATTTTTCTTCATGCACCACTAATGAACTTTGTAATTTGTCAATGGACATGTTATCAGTATCTTTAGATTCCTCAATGATACTACAACATAAGTAAATTTTTCAGTCAGGGTACGTAGAATTTTTTATACAATTTTCTTGTCTGGCATATCTTCTCCATTGCTTCTCATCTTATTAGAGATTATCATCACTCTTGCAAAATAATCTGTGATACTTTCATCATTCTTGATCTCTAGAATCTCAAATTCTCTCCTTAATGCATTAAGAAGAGATTTCTTCACTTTTTTGTTTCCACAAAATTTTCGCTTCATTGAGTCCTAAACAATCTTGGCTTTGCGGCGATCCAAGATTTGTTCAAAGACAGTACGATCAATTATCTGGAAGAGATAATGCTTTACTTGGTGATCTTTGAGTCTAGCATCATCAAGGTGGTCCTTTTGTGTTTCATCAGTATTGTTCCTTCCTCTAGTTCTGAGAAACCAATCTCCACCACACTCCATACCAATCTCCATCACACTCCATAGACCCTTTGCTCTGAGCAAATCAATGATCATAGTGACTCACTCCAATGATCATAGTGACCATCGAAGTGAGAGATCTTCGCTAAAGTTTTGTTTTCACTCGTACTCTCACTATTTGATCACTAAAAAATAGCAGCTTTGATACCAATTGTTAGGTTTTGATAGAAGAATAACTAAGCTAGAAACATAAATAATTGAACTAATGATATTATTGAATACTAGCTTTACAAATAACCATACTTTTATACTTTACAAATAATCATAAACAAAAACTAAGAAACAAATCTCTCTGTAGACAAATCTTAGAAGGGAAAATATTTAAACTAAATGCCTAAAAATACTACTTACAAATACTCACTATTTTGACCTAATCAAAATTTTCTATTCCTCCCCCTCCTGATCATTTCGTCCACCCTCCTTATCATGAGGCTGGAGAAGGGGGCCTTGCCTCGAGGTCTGGGGTATCTCATGATTGCCTGACCCAGAAAATCCCCTGCCTAACAAATTTGCAGGAAATTCTAAGTTCTGTATGTCCCACTTTGCCGCAGATCTGGCAGAAAGGATGAGCAAGAAAGGATGAGCAGAAGGGTCACGATGATCACCAGCCACCTTGAGAACAGCCACGACCACGATCCCTACGCCCACGGTTCTTCTACTGACCACCACGACTAGCATAATCGGCCGAAGATCCAAGATTTAACTCAAGTTCAACTTGGTGTTGTAGTTGGCGAGCTTTAAACGCCATTAGATATGCAAACACATCATCAAGCGTGAGGGCTTCACTCTTAGTAGTCATCGAGGTAACGAAGGGATCATAGTCAGGGCCAAGACCAGTGAGGAGATATGCTTCCGAGAACGACATCGTTTCCACCATCTGCAAGAAAACTAGAAACCCATCTTTTTGCTTTAACGTGTTGAATTTTGCTGGCACCACAGACCTAAAAGGGTTGGCCACCTTCACCCTCAACCTCGCCCATGACAAGGCTTCTCAAAGTCGTGTCCTCGCCCAGTCCTTAGCGTCCAAGGCAACCGATCCCAAGCTTAAGGAGCGCTATGCCACCTGTGCTGAACACTACGACGATGCTGTCGACGACATCGAGGATGGGAAGAACTACTTGGGAAAAGGTGACTACAATAGCGTCAACACTATGGCGTCTGCAGCCATGACGGAAGCCGGTGACTGTCTGGACAGTTTCATGCAGCCGCCAAAGGACCCATCGGCGCTGTCTGACAACGGGAAGGCTGTGGAAGATATTTGTAGTATCATCTTGGTTATAGGCAATCTTCTTCTTGGGCGTGCCTAACTCCTTTTCTTCCACCTTTCTTCATTTTATACTACAAACCTCTATACTTGGAATGCCATGAATCAATAATATGTTTGTTTTGAATCCTATAAATTTGGACATCGACTCCTTCCCATTTTAAACCGAAATCTAATATGACTCAATAACATGATTAATCTAGGGTCACTCAATAACTCTTACTGCTCTCCGATTTTAAAGGTCGTCAATAGCTACACATAATTTCTTCTAAATGAGTTATAGGCCTCCTCAACCCACCCTCAAACTAAAGAAACTTTTTGAATCAAAATGAGTGTGGAGGGAGAATTGGCCAAGTTGTTCAAAATTTGAATTAAAGAAACTAGATTTCATTTTGTTTCTTTTCAAATTTTCATTCCTCTACCTCTTTTGGTTAGGTTGGTTTTATCTTTTTGGATTTGAGTCCGTTTGTTCATGTCATGAACAGACCCAATTTCATTCAAAAAAAAAAAAAAAAAAAAAGCTAGTGGAAGGGCTAGTGGAAGGCCGACCCTCCCTCTAATCATAAGCTTTTCAAGCCCAACAGAAACCCTCATTTATTGCTAGGTTGTGACCTCTGCGACCCTCAAGTGACATCTATCCTACCATATGACGGACGGTGCATCATCCAATACATCAAGAATGTGCATTGAAGCTAAGTTGAGGTGAAACGAGTGTCAAAGACAAGCTCAAAGAAGGTCGAGTAGACTCCAAACAATAAAATCATTCCTTCTTCTTCTTCATATTATTATTATTATTTTTTTTTTTGGAATTTTTTTAAATGGGTTTTGATATTTATAAAAGAAATTAAACGTAGAGAGTTATTTCATTTTTTTTGTGAGTGAACCAAATTTTTTTTGGGCGAATGTAAATTCATGAGATAGGATCCAACCTTAATGAGGTTGGGAGTCAATTTAGAAACTAAACCTCGATGAGTAGGATCAAACCTTAATGAGGTTGAGAGTCAATTTAGAAACTAAACCTTGATGAGTAGGATCAAACAAATAGCAACTTAAGATCAAACAAATAGCAACTTAAACAATTTTGTGACTACTTAGGCCAACAAGTAGTTTTACTAATGGATTGGTCAGATGAATTGTATAAAGTATGAACACGTGTGTTCTATGCCCTTACACATGTCGTACTTGTGATTGTTTGACTTGTATGGCATTGTGTTATGTTATAACTAAATCTAATATTATGTTGTGTGAGATCCCATGAGACATATATATGATGTCTATAATATATATATAGGTTATGCCATGCACACTATATTAGCATATTCTCTTGAGGTTTATGAAATATTGTTTAGCCATGTATGCTATTCATGAAAGTTATGTTTAAGAAATAACGAAGGTATGACCCACATCATAAGTATATGTCATGGTATGACCCACATCATAAGTATATGTCATGGTTTAAAGCTATGGGGACCTCATGCATTTTGTGTTTCATGTGTGTCGGGATACTTCTCCTTTATGATGAGTACGAATGCATACAATACAATATTGTGTACACCATGATATTATGCACGCTCTTTTTCCTCCACGACTTTTTCGGTAGCGCAAAAGTGCACTAATCAAAAACCTGGTCCAGGGGTACATATATGAGTCTACCTTGGGTTCCATGTCCATGTGTGTATACCGTGTGTAAAGAAGTAATACACATCCAATCACCCTGAACTAGAAAGTGAGACCACCCTAAAATCTTTCCACTCATAGTTTCTTTACCCATAAATCTCTATACTGACTCTCTCCATTTTTTCAAAAATATTGGTCATATTTTATCATATGTAATGACTCCATTTTCTAACTCATTTTAGCATGAACCATCGTAATGAAATAGGTCATATAATTTTTTATTTTTATCTTAAAAATACAAGACATAAAACAAATAAAGTAATACATTAAATTATAAAAAGTTAAATACATACATTTGTGGGCGTGCTATTTGAAATACAAAGATTAGTTACAATTGGAAACGGATACAAAAGACATATATAAATAAATATAAGATCCAAAAGACTTAGGTCAACGAGGTCCCCTCCACAGCCACACGACCCCCCACAGTAACCAGTGATCTATTACTCACCTGAAAATATGAAATGTAGTAAGATTGAGTATAAAAATACTCAGTATGGAACTAACTTATAGCCTCTTATCAAACTTATTCTTGTACATGGAATCTTAAGCTATGTGCTCATACTACCCCTAGAGTTAGCCAAAGTGAGGCTGAATACCTGTATTGACATTTTTAGGTCTCTACGCACCAAAACCCTATACATACCTCCTCTAAGGAGTGCTCTACCCCTTTGGGTTCATAACTGAAAAGGTCGGGCCTAGGGTAAGTCTAGTGAGTATGGAGGAGCCTTTTTGCTTTAACGTAATATACATACTTCACACCTGACTATATACTAGGGTAAGTCTAGTGAGTATGGAGGAGCCTTTTTGCTTAAACGTAATATACATACTTCACACCTGACTATATACTAAGCTCATACCAGATGATTTCCCCTAGTGGTGTTGGGTTATAACTATCTGTTGCATCACCTTTTAGGCTAAAACAGTCACTTACTTGTCGCATCGCCCTTTCGAACGGAGATAGTAACTTACTTGTTCGCACCCCATCTTGTGCTAGAATAGTAAATTACCTGTCGGTCACCCTACCGGCTCCCCCACTAAGCACAACTGAAACTACCTGAATAACATACCCTCTATGACTCCTGTAACTCACTAAGGGTGACAACTCGGCTATATATACTACATAGACCCTAACACCCCTTGGCTAGTTCATGAACCGGGTTCGCACCCTAATCATCCCTACAAGGTACATGGTCAACCCAAAGGAGACAGTGGGACTTGTAGCTAGATCTAGTACCTTAGTAACGTAAAACAATGGTTCATAATCAATAACCACCTTATTTAGTTTTTTAACAATAATATATATTATTTTATTTGTGATTTAATTGTTATCCATTATATGAAAATCCAAGGTTATTAATGTAATCTTGAACAGTATGTGGTTGACATACAAGAGGATCGTGTTCAAGTAATAACCTAAAGAGTCTATAGTATATGGATAAGGTTGGGTGTCTTATCTTGGTAACACTATTGATATGGCCCACTTTGTAATCGTTACAAATGATTTGATCCGAATCATTCATGTGGAGACATGTAAGTGAGGGTATCCTATAAAATGAGTTTGTATGAGACTGGACCAAGAAAGATTTAATCTCTCTTTATAAATCCATTAATGAAGAAGATTAATATTTCACGTGATGATAATATGTGACTCGGTCTTGATCCTGAGTGAGTTATAAACTCCTGTCGAGTTTGTCCTTTAATTTACATGGGTGAGAATGAGTCTTTTAGTCGATTCAATATGCCTACTATTCTGTGGACTTGACCAAATAGGGAGTTGGGAACATAATATCATGGGATGGAATTCACTTCTTTCCATATAAGGAAAGTAGACGAGTTGTTGTTTAAGTACTGATTTGGGACTTGAACAATGGGCCCTACCCTCTCATTGGCCCGAGAGGGACTTGGTCTATGATTGGATCATAGACAAATGGTTCATTAGAGGATCAGTGGTACTTAAGGTGAAAGATCTAATTACAGGGGTAAAACGGACTTTTGACCCAGCTGTAATTATGAACAACTCGTGAAAGATCGACTTGCTTGTATTAATTATATCGACGGACATAACTTGTTCTACAGTGCATAAGAGTGCAACTCTAGGTCTATAGTGGAGTGACCTATAGTTAATGAATGGAAATTGATTAATTAAAGAGTTTAATTAATTAATTTTGTATCATTGAAGCTTATAATCTGTAGGTCCATAAGGTCCCCTTGCTAGCTCATAGTAGTTCAATTTATTTGAAAGAAAATTTGAAGGGTTCAAATTGATATTTAATATATTAGATATATTAAATATAAAAGAGAAAATAAATTTAATTTGAAATGTCAAATTAATATTATATAAATAGAGAAAATATATTTAATCCCAAGTGTTCAAATTAATATTTAATATTTAGATATATTAAAAAGGAAAAATATATTTATTGTATTTGATACAATTAAATATTAAATCAGTTATTTGATACATTAAATAAAAATATATTTGAAATTCAAATGAGATTCAAATTAATTAAATATATATTAGGATATCTTATAATATATAAAGTATAATATCCTAATATATAAATATGTAAATATATTAATTGGCAAATATTCTCCGAGAGTCCCTGGTCTTCGGTGTGATGACCCAAAATTTTCTACTTAATTTAAGGTCGCTACTGTACTCGTACCATAAATATTGAATGCGGAAGACTTCATTTAAATTCCATAAAACATAACCTTTAACTTAAAACACAGCCATGTACTTACGTGTTTCGAAAACATCTTTAAAACGACACAACAAAAGACCCTAAATAAAATAAATAAGCATTTAAGTTTAAAACATCCTATTCTAGCCTAAGTCTAAGAAGATAAATACCACTATCCTATGCATGTGCCATGATCTCGAGTTGCGATGCCGTCATCAGCCGTACAGGAATGCCTTGCCTTAACTTGAAAAATGTAGTAGCACATGGCTTGAGTATTTAAAGAAATACTCAGTAAGTGATCCCACTATTAGGGTTAAATGCAACAATCACATGCAATGAAATGATGGAACCTATCTTTCGTTTCGTTTCGTTTTCCGTACGGTGTTGTCCTAACGGGTAATTGTGGATGTGTACCATATACTCTACACACAGCCCATACGTGCGAGTATGGGCTCACCAGCTAGTTCGCACACCGCTGGGCCACTGTCCTTATCCGGTGGGCATACTCTGGGAGCCCCTTATGCCAGGACCTGTTAAAACTAGAACCGTCACGGTAGCGCTATGCAATGCATAACGATCGTTGTTCTGCCATTGGATGTACGCGTCCGTACCCTCGTGATGGAATGGGGGTATCCCCCAGATGCATGAACACACATAATGCATGAGATCTCCCTATTTC